TTTTTTTTTTTCCTTTTTTTTTTTATTTCTCTTTACCCTTTGTTTCTCCTTTCCATCATTTTTTTCCGACCACCAAATGAACGGGCAAACAAATGGTTATTTATTCGTTCTGGGTTCTGAAACTGTTGAGGCTCTAATGCGCTTATTTATTCGTATCCAGATATTTTCACATTGGGATTATCTGTAAGATAATTTTTGTTCCTTTGGACACTTTTCTAGTTTCGGGGGCGCCTCATATAACGCTGATCCGATGGACGCGTTCGATTGGCTACGCGTCGCTTGTAGGCAGGGTAGAACTTTACTGAAAATTTTTTTTATTCAGTAGAAAAAATGGGAAAATTAGCTACACGGTTCAGGGAGTGGTTTTTGCTGATCAAAAAACATGGTGTGGTTTCATTTACAATATTAGGGAACTTCGTAACACCTAAGTGTTAGTTTAGTTGTAAGCCGGCCCGTTAGTGTATTTTTTTGAAGTTGAAACCGATGTAGTACTGCGGTAATCAGAGAACTCTGTGTGACTTATATGAGGAATACAGTTTATACCTTATCATTGCATATCTATAAAGAAATATTTATAAAGCTTTTTTTACTGAAGAATCGTACAAACGCTTAAGCGTGAAAAAGTAAAGACTTTAAAGAAGTCTCTCAAAAATGACCTCTTAGAAGAAATTTTCTTGTTTGACAATAGTGCAAAACAACTTACTCTCTGAATAAGGGAATTATTATTATCGTTGCAGAGGGAAGACAGATGTAGCTGACACTTTTTTTAAAGCTTTTTCCTAAATGGTGCCACTTCTGTATTCTGTTTTGTTTTTTTTTTTTATTTGGTGTTAATTTCCTGCTCATTGTTCTGTTCAGTTCTAATATATATTGCTCAATCTTCTTTTTATTATACTTCATCTTCACTTTTTTACTTGGGAAAATTTATGGTACCGTTAAGCAGTGGAGTTTAGCAAGCCTACAGATTGCAGTCAGGAAGCGTCGGGGGTCTTCTCCCTCGACCAGTGGACGTAAGGCTTAGCGACTTAGCAAAAGCCAAGGTTAATGACCGAACAGTCTTAAGTTTACTGGCCATTTTCGTTATTTTTCAACAACTTCGTTAGGGAATTCCCACCACGTTTTACGAGTTACTTTTCCTGCGTCCACCAGTGGACCGGGCTCCCCCCACTGGTGAAGAAAAAAAACAGGTGATTCCTATGGTCTAGAAAAGTCTCAGTAAGGCATTAAAGGTTTTTTGTATGTCGTTTCTACTTTGGCTTTTTGTTTCTCTTGATTTGCGATAAGGCTTATTTTGGTTGTACATTTCTTTACACAGACTGTTGCTTACAAAATATATTTTGACATTAATTTATGACTCAGTTACATACTGGTATTTTTACTCTATTACACAAGATTAGTGCGAAGAAAGAAGCTCAGTATAGATGATCACGTTTTTTAATGTCTTGAGAGATGGGTATTCAATAATATATCAGGTTGCAGATGTCTCATTCGAATTTATCTGGTTCAACGTCAAGTAGTTTAGTTCCCTTACAAAATGGAAGTGGTGAGCCGTGTGAATCAGCAGCATGTTCACGTGCTGATCTTACTATGGAACGTGATGAGTATTTGGTAACTTTTTTTGTTTTAATTTGAAATTTTCAAAGTTTTATCATTATGCCGCATTCGTTTTAATAAGCTTGCTGTTGCTTTTTAGGGCGAGTCCACTACCGCTATGTTGGCTGATTTAACTTTAGGCGAGAATGGGAACGAATTCCGTCTTAGTTATTTGGCTGACCGTCATCGAGTTCTGGATGTTAGTATTTATAAAAAGTGTTTTGGAACTTTTTGGTCTTTATTCTGCATAGATTTTAGTTTATTATTTATACCCTAGCCACAGAGTCGGTGGATTTTAATTTTTAGCTCGAAACAAATTTATGTGGTGGCACTGATTCTGATTAGCCGTAGTTGCTACATTAGTCTTGATTGAACAGCGGCTTCTATTTCTATGTTCTCATTTTTTAAATATCTAAAGCCTTTAACCTTCAGACTTTCTTGGAATGGAACGATGATGAGCAAGTAGATTTTGTAAAAGTACTTTTATATAAGATGCGCCATGAACAACACGGGCAAATCGATGCTTTCTTAAAACCTATTTTACAACGGGATTTTATAGCTCATTTACCCGGTCAGTTTGAATTGTTAGAACTTGAACAGTCGTCGTATTTACCAGATTAGCAGACTCGTTAAATTTATTGTATCAAGTTTCAGACCGTTTAGCAGTTTACGTTTTATCATTTTTGGATGCCCGTTCACTCAGGATGAGTGAAGCAGTTAGTCACGCTTGGAAGAGGGTGATTGCTCGAGGGGCTTTGTGGCGAAAACTGATAGAAAGGAATATATCAACTGACTCAGTTTGGAAGGGTATTACTGATAAAAGAGGATGGTTAGTTATTCAAATGCATCTTTGTTATTTACTATTTCCGCACTTTTTTCTTCAACTTTTCAAAATTTGTATACATAGTTCGTACCATTTTCTTTCTTTCTACGATTGCAAAACAGTGTTGTTCAAAGAAGTTTTTAATAAATTTATCTTAAATTTCTGGTGATGATTAATTTTCTCAGGATTGCTATTTTAGCGTCTGACAAAGTATTTTTACCAAATGCTTTTCACATAATATCTCAGAACGGTTACAGCAACGTTTTGCATATTAATCTTTTTTTTTTGATTTTGATTTAAAATTATTAAAATATTTTTTCTTCTGGTCTTTTTAATTCTTTGAAATGCATTAGTACTTTTAGGAGCAAATTTTTTTTTATCAAAAAGGATGTGGCACAAAAATTAGTGCTTCAAGAGGCAGGATATGATGCTGCAGCTGTCGAACATAAAAAGTAAAGAAATTCATTGCCCTTAATACATTCTATGTGCTTAGGGATCTCCACATTAATGAGTAATGCTGATGTTAGTGTTTTCAGGAACACAGAAGAGTCAGTTGAAATACAGCACAATTTTTACCGAAATTTTTTTCCTAGAATATACAATGATATCAAATCTTTGAAAGACAACTGGAAGAATGGGAGGCGCACTCTATCTAGAATACAGTGTAATTCGGAGCCAAGTCGAGGTTGTTTTTAATGTTCTTATCGTTGTTCAATGTTTCATTAAACTTGTAAAATTATCGTCGTAGGATGTGTTATTTTGTTAGAAGTGTATTAAACAGATTTGTAGGAATCTGCAGAAGTATAAAATTTCAGTTTTAAAATTTTCAGGTGTTTATTGCTTACAATATGATGATGAGAAAATTGTTTCGGGACTACGAGATCATACCATAAAGATATGGAGGAGGAGCGATCTTCAGTGTGCTATGGTGCTTCGGGGTCATACAGGATCTGTTCTTTGTCTGCAGTACGATGATAAAGTCATAATCAGTGGAAGTAGTGATACAACTGTTCGGTAACAGTTCACTTTTTCTTAATTTTTATCTTGAGTACTTCTTCTGCAGCTTTATAATGTTAAGAATCAATATCTGATTATTTTATAGATTTGTTGTGACTCTGTGTCTAAATGTTAGTCAGGGCTACTTGAAGCTTTCTTTTTTTTTTCTTAGTTTTTATTGAAAAATGTTTTGCTGTGATTGCTAAGTGGTTTTAATCAGTGGAGATTGAATAATGATGATAATTTTTCATTTTATTTCACTTTTGGCTTTTTTGGCTTTTAAATCTACCTTGTTACCGTAAATTTTTTATTTTTTTCCAACTTAACTTATACGGTGGTTTTTACAATGGTCTTGAAGAAATTTTTACGTGTTTTTTCATACTTTTCTGACGCAGTTTATGTTGTCTGATAAATCTTCTACTTCTTTTATGTTAAATGAATTTTATTCTAGGGTTTGGGACGTTCATACTGGTACACCATTAAACGTATTGGTTCATCACGTTGAGGCCGTCCTTCACCTGCGGTTTCAGAATGGAATGATGGTTACTTGGTATAAATTTTTCGTATTAAATGAATGAAATATCTCATATTTTTGCGTCAATGAAGAAAGCTTTTCAGCTCCAAAGATCGTTCTATAGTCGTATGGGATATGAATTCACCAACAGATATTGTTGTTCGCCGTGTTTTAGTTGCCCATAGAGCTGCAGTTAATGTTGTTGATTTTGATAGTAAATATATTGTTTCTGCGTCTGGAGATCGCACCATAAAAGTACTTTTCTTCGCTTGTTCTTTTTGCAGCAATAACTTTTTAAAGTGTTATTTTGTGCATATTGTGCGTATGAGGTAGTTTACTAACGCTCTTACTTGTATAATTTAATAAAAATATTTGCTGCTAAAAGGTTCACTCACTTTGATTTAAATCTTGCTGTCAGTTTAGTGGTTGACGAATCACTAGATTCATTTATAGGTTTGGTCAACCGACACGTGTGAGTATGTCAGGACACTTATGGGACATCGTCGAGGAATTGCATGCTTACAGTATCACGACAGATTAGTAGTTTCTGGCTCAAGTGATAACAGTATACGGTATTTATTATATTTCGTGTTTTGTTTGTTTTATGCACAGCTCTCTCCGGTTTATTTTAACTTCTTAATTTTCTTCATTTTAAATTTTTTTGTCTGCTGGGACATTAGAATTCTTCTTTAGGTTATGGGATGTTGAAATTGGGAATTGCTTGAAAGTTCTTGAAGGGCATGAGCAGTTGGTTCGTTGTATTAGGTTTGATTCAAAAAGAATTGTGTCAGGTGCATATGACGGGTACGTTTATATACTTCTTGACTATTAATTTTTCTCGTATATATGCTCGTTTGACAAATTCCTCGTTAGATTTTTATTCGAAATAAGTTGTCCAGATCTTCATGTGCTCACATGGTACTTATTCTTCATTAGCTTTTCAGAAGCGCTTTAAAGCGCTTTTAAATGTCAACAGATAGTTGTATACTTAGCTCAAGCTTTTGAATTCTTGACTTTAGCGCTTGCTAGAGATCGGAACATTACTGGCATTATTTTTGCTGCAAACAAATTTTTTTCTAGGAAGATCAAGGTTTGGGACTTGCAGACTGCTTTAAATCCTCGTTCCCATCCTGAAGCGGCATGCCTGCTTACCCTTGTTGTAAGTATATGTTTTTTTGCCAAAAAGAACTGCTTTACAGAAGGCAGTTTGGGTCTTGTTCTCACTGCTTGTTTAGGAGCATACCGGACGAGTATTTCGACTGCAGTTTGATGAATTTCAAATTGTTTCATCTTCGCACGATGATACAATATTAATCTGGGACTTCTTGGATCCAAGTCCAGGAGTAAGCGCTATTCGGGATGGACCTGTTCAAGATGCGGCGCCAGGAGCAAATGCCCAAGCTCCATTAGCGGCTAATGACGATCCGTCTGATAATGGTATGGTATAGCAGTACATGTTACCTTAACAGATTCTGATTTGTTAAGTATTTCCTTAAAAATGCTTGTATGAAGTCGTTCTTCAGTGGACCAGTTTTTGGTCATCTGAGTAAGAAAGTTTTTTGAGATGTAAGTGATGACGAGGAAGCCCTGAATAGAGCAATTGCTGCTGTTGGAGAGGAAGTTGCTGCTGCTGCGGAGGCAGAGGGAATTCGGATCCACTTTGACGGGTTTGTGATTAAAAATTTGTAAGATATTTTTGGTTACAGCGTTTGGAGATTTTATAGTGAAAGAGGTTTGATAGTGGTGTTAACGTCAGCAAGTCAATAGGGCATACATTTTGATCTGTGAGTGGCAGTATTCTGCTAACTGTATAAAAGTTTAATTTAGAGAAATTTTCGTAGTTTTTGAAGTCGCTTTTGTGTAACGAAAAATTCGATCAAAGGCACATATTTAGTTCCAGCTTTTTTATCTCTTTAAAAGTCACGTTGAAAATTTTAGAGTCAAGTCTGTTCTTGGTTTTCATTGTTAATGTTTAGAGAAGATATCAATAGATATAAAGTTTCCAGTTTTTTAAATGCTCTTTGTAGTTGATAGAAGAAATTCTTAGTTGTATTGTGTAGAGTTTCTAACTTCTTTTGACTGATTGGGCTCTATGAGTCGTTGATTCCTGATACGTTTTTCAACTTTATAGTTTTTAAAAATGCTTTTAGTAAAGTGGTTTCAGAGAAATTCCTGCGGAAGCTCAGATTTTGGGGGATAATGAATATGGCCCAATACGACGGGGAGGGAATGGAGCTCCCTGAAAAGTGCGCTATTATGTTTTACAGGGTAAAAAAGAAATGAGAATTTCTATTTTTCTATGTGAAACGTGGAAAAAAGCTGAAACAGACTTTTATTTTTCCAATTTTATATTTTACAATGGATTTGTAATGTTGACATATTTACTTTATTTTTATTTAGGTGCAAAGGCAGTTTTCATCTTTGTCTTTGTATCGGAAATTGATTCAGAAGACTTTGCATAACAATTTTCTCGTGTTTTCTGCCATTCATTTCTCAGACTAAAACTGCTGGTCGTTTCCGCTGGACGGGAAACTACTTATTTGCTTTTTCGCTCTTGTCACTTTAGACAAGTTTTAATTGACTGTGACCAACAAAGGTTCTATAGTTCCTTTTCTTAAGTTGGTTTAAAGAGTCATGCCGTTACTCCGAAAAACAAAAAGTTAGGAATATTTAGGAAATTATATTTGTACCACGTTTTAAAGTAGAAACACAGGCGAGTGAGTTTTAGAGGGAAATTGTTTCTTATTTAGCAGAGGACGTAGAACCAATTAAGTTTGGGAGTTTTTGAACGTATATTGTGGTGGACAATAAATAGCGATTTTGAGTAGAGAAACTGTAGATGAAAAAAAAAAGAAAAACAAAAAATTAGATAAAAGGTGGTTCTAAAATGGTCCTTTATGGCGTTGCAAAAAATGGGTAAGCTGTTGGCATAATAAAAAAAACTTTGGTTTGCATAGTAATAAAGGGTCTGACCTTAATTTTCTGAAAGTATAGAAAGGGGATTGAAATTTAATGTTTTAATTATTCGACAAAATCATTGCTTGTAAAATATGGACTTCTGCAAGGCTTGAAGTTTTCATTTTACTCTGTCACTTAGGGAATAAAACTTAGAAGAGTTTTATTTACTCATTTATGGAACCGTGGTTAAGCAGTTTTTCTGAAAAAGGACAGTGCTTATTTTTTTCTGTTGTTGAATCTTTTTTTTGCCAGCAATTATGATAAAAGTCTCGCGTTAACCTATTGTTAAAATTGGTTTTTTTCTCTTAAGAAGGGAGGCTAAATTTGGTTGTGAATGCGGAATAAACAGGAGAAAGCTTTAATTTTCAAAGTATTTATTGCTTATGGTGTTTTCTGGAAAGTGTTTTTCTGTCTTTTTCACACCCTGAAAGTTCTTTTGAAGCTATTTTACAAAATAGTGTATTTTATACTTAGTTTCTGCAAGTTCGTAGTGTGAATTGCATTGATTTTTATTCTTCTATTTTATTATTTTTTTGTTTCGACTCCGTCTGAAATTCCCAATTGTTGCGCAAAGAGCAACTAGTTCTTTCTAATATTTTAAATTGTGCTGTGTAGGTGAGGGCGTTTCTTTTAATAAGGGACAAAAATTGGAGGAATAATGATCTCATTTTTGTAAAGTAAGTGTACCACATAGGTTTTACTTAGTTAGCTTGAGGGAGGGCTGGGTTTTGCTTTTCATTTTTTGTGAAATTTAATGCCAGTCAAATGAACGAAGAAAGCAATGCACAGTAAATGGCAGACTTACGAAAGCAACAAAAAAAGACGGGTCGGAAGTGGTGTAATTGAAGTATATCGCTAAACTAGAATTGTAAGTAAAATATTTAATGAATCTTTTTTGGATGTGCAGTCAATTAAAAGTTGTTGAGTATCCGTCTAACAATGAGCCGCCATAGCCAGATGTGTTTGGTATTTATAACGGGTAGCCTTGTGTCATATGCTATACTGCCTGTCTTATTCTTCACCTAGTCGAATTCCTTGTTTATGTTGAACTGTAACGTGAAAATTTTTTTGTTGTATTTTGTGAGA